AGGGCACTCGCGTCCTGGGGCTGCTCCTCCTGGAGCTGCTCCTCCGGGAGCTGCTCCTCCTGGAGCTGCTCCTCACCTGCTGCGTCTGCAGCGTAAACAGCAGAGGAGGCAGGAATCAGTGGTGGTGTGACGTGAGCCTGGAGACCTGAGTCCCTGCTGGAGCTCCCGTCTAACTGCTGATGCTGCTCACAGTCACGGTGGAGACCAAAGATAGCCCGCTCCAGCAGCAGATGGTACAGAGTGAGGGGCGGGGCCCAGCGGCTGACCCACCTTTGTGCTGCTATAACGTTGACATCCCACCCCAGGCAGACTGAGCAGGAACATGTGTGTGTGTTTTCAAACAAATCAGCCCAACAAACAATTACCCCCCCTCACCCCCCCCCTCCTGCTCAGCAGTGAGCGCCCCCCTGTGGATGTGATGCTCTGTTCATCTGGAGGAAAGAATTCAGCAGGTTTCCAGGTTCATTAGTTTGACAGACAGAGAAGCTGAAGCTGTGAGGGAGGGGGGCAGGACAGTCCCCGCCCCCCCACTGTGTCCTCTGTCTGTCTCTGGATCTGGACAGAGTACTGTGTACTGTGTACTGTGTACTGTGTACTGTGTACTGTGTACAGCTGGCTCCATGGAGAGCTGTTTGTCTGTTGACTGGTCGTCTGATGTTCTGATGGGCTGTGATCCAATGACAGTCAGTCAGTAACAGGCCGGTCAGTTTACTGAACGACTGGACAGTACTAGTTAAACTAGTCACTACAGCTGGTTCATCTAGTACAACGTCACGGTCTCTGCAGGACAGGAACCACTGAACACCTGGACGGCGACACCTGTTGGTGACACCTGTCAGTGACACCTGTTGATAATCAATATTCATGGAATGGAATCCCTTCCTGCCACACACACATGTCCGTTTGTGTTCAAGGTTAGAAGAACCCTCACATTCATACATGTTTCTTAGCCTGGTGTGGACCGGACACCCGTGGTCCAAACTGAGGCTCCTGGTCTGAGCACCAGCTCCTGTGGCTCAGTGGAAGAAGGCAGCAGGCGCTGGAGGGACAGTCTACTGTTCAACTGTGTCATTCCACAAACTGCCAGTAGGGGTCCTGCCTGAGCTGCTGTGGTTGGAGCGTCTTTGTACAATATATAAAAAACCAACAGAAACCTGGAGTGATGAAGATCTGCATCTGTGTGTGTGTGTGTGTGTTCTGGAGGAGGGTTGCCTGGGAGACCAGCCTGGACCC